TATTATAGCAGCAAAACACTTCATCATTGCCAATCTAATGCACTCAATAAATACTGAGCAGCTACTATACGCCAGGAACTGGGCGAATAAAACAGGCAGGTGAAACCATTTCTGGTCCATTCATTAAGAAATTACCAGATTTTCTTTCACGTTGCGCCTTTTCACCCATGTCCTTATATTATCCACCTTGAAAAAAATCCATACTACAGTTTCTATTTTCCCTACAGGGCTTAGAGTTCTGAGAATAAAGAACTGATATCCTAGGTTTTGAATGGAATTACAATGTAAATGTTCATTCTTTAAACTAGGAAAGTTAATGTAGATATTCTAAAAAAAAAAAAAAAAAACAGCCGACATGAAAAATGGCTCCTCAAATTTCTATGGTATGTCATCTCCATATTTGTTCACAGCAGCTCTATAATTTGGATTATGATCCCATTAATCTCATTTTATGTAAGAAAGCTGAGACAATGAAAGAGTAAATAATGCATGAGGCATCTTCATCTGAGTTCTCCCAAAAAAACTCTAGAGCAAGTTGTTTATTTGAGAGATGCAAGAGATGCTAACAGGAAAAAGGGAAATGATACAGGAAAGGAACTAGGCCAATAAAGGGTATGCTTTTATGCCTGTTCCCACAGTGGATGTCTGGAGCTTATTCCTTCAAGGGCTAAAAGCTGCTCCTGAGGGGTATTAATTCCTTAGCAGAACAGCCTTCTCCTGTTTTAGAAAAAACCTCCCAGACAGAGAAATGCAGATACTGGATTTGGAAGTAGGCCAGAGCACACTAAAAAGTCTGAGAAATATTGGCAAGTCACTCAGAGCAACTGCTACATGCACAGTTTTCAGGAGAACTAGATCTCTAATATACAGTATCCTAAATTTTGAATGTATATTTTTTACTCCATCCTGCCAAAATACGATGCTTTCTTAGAGTAAATATAAACCATTTAAGATAAATCTTGGATACAGACACCATTTTGTGTTAAAGAAAACAGTGACTATAGAACCGCCCAATAACAACAGCCAACAGTACTTGAATACTTGCTTTGTAACAGAAACCATGCTAAGTATTTCATGTGTATCATCTTAATTCTCAGCCCAATCTATGTAATAAAAGATCGTTAGCGGCGTCGCCACATGACAGAGGAGGAAAGCCAGGCGCAGCGAAGTTTGGTTCCCAAGGCAGTACAGCTGTTAAGAGGTGGCATTGAGATTCAAACCCAGGCAGTCCACACCAGAACCCATGGCCCACATCATTGCTCTCTACTGGCTCCACCTCTGGTTATTTTGGAAACAGAAGGGGATATAAAATCAATTTACAGATTTTATGATAGAAAACTATCCTACAATTTTAAGTGTATCATGTGGCATTGATGATGCTCATGGTATCAAAACTTAACACTTCCAAATTCATGTGATCGCAAGACACCTCCTACAAATGCGCTATGTATACTGTTTTTTATTAAAAGTGCTCTCCATGTTTGCAAGAGTATATGTAAATAAACTATTGTACATATTTCATAAAACAGGCCAACATCAAAATAAAATAATAAACAGACTTTGTGAAATAACACTACCTTCACTGTCCACATCCCAGCCTCTGGCTCTTTTACATTCACCACTTTGGCAGAGTTGTGGATATTTAATAGCTCGTTCAGGCCAAATCCCTTTTTTATCAGCTTCCCTGAAAGACAGACATAAAGGTATCAAGCATAATCTTTCTCTTAGCTATGTATACTAACTAATTTAACACTACACAAAACTGAGAGTGTGGTCAGATTTCAAACAACACAGACATACTTTTTACTAAAGTATGCTGCAAACTAACCCAAAGAGCCTTTATTCTCTATTCTGGGACTAAAATGAAGAGCATTCCACTTTCAGTATCTATTACCTAATGGACATTTGTGCCCCAACTCAAAATATTATGTATATCTAAAATATACTTAATTTTAGGGTTTCTGGGCATTGGAAACTGAAGTAACAGATTCCCATTTGTTATGCTAATTTGGATGTAAAATGAGAATAACAATTGGCAGACTGTCATCGTATTTCAGGAAGTCAGCCTCGATAACAATTACTATGACTACCAAGAAGTTACATGCAGTCACTAGAGACATTTAGATTAAATAATGGCAAGCACAGCAACCCAGAATAAATGTCTTTTTGGAGACCGCTCAAGGTATTACTAACATGACAGCCTTGGGCATATCCTTCCACAAAGTGTAAAACCTTAACCAGTTTTCCATTAACCACAGAAGAAGGCCTTTATCTGTCACAGGAATAATTAAAGGAGGCAGTGTAACGAAGTAGCATGATACCATCCCCTACAGACCTGAGATGTATCTAAAGTATCTAGCCATTGGAACTCAGAGAGGAAGAAAAGTAAATTGGAATTGAGCCGTAGTCTAGTTATTCACTTCACTCTTGTCTTTCCTATGGACTACTTCTGTAGTTACATAAACAAATCAGTTAGAAGCATCCTATGTAAAATCAAAAGTTTTACAATCATGAATGTCCAATAACTTTTTAAAGTAGTAGAAACGTAATGCAATCAGTACAGGTACTTTTAAGTATTCAGGTAGTGGAAAACACAAGTCTTTCCCGGATAACATGGATGTTATTACAGTGGAATGCTACCTCAACAGAAAAATCCACTTACAAGGCCAAACCTGTAGAAGTTTTCAAAAAGAGGTTTCACTTGTTTTGTAAATTCCAATGTGTTTGCTAGTGCGGATATGGCCTCTGAGGGAAATTTCATATGCTAGTTCTTTCAGGAATTAGTTATTTTCTTCTAAGACTTAAATAAGAAAGCTTGTCACTCCCCCTCCCCATTTATAAATATTCACAGAGAAAAAAAATGCAACTAAAGTCATAGTGGAAATACAACTATTTCATAAATATCAATAGGTAAA